CAGTCTCTTCCTTATAGGCCCCTTAGAGGCCCTGCATGTGCTGCAGGTGGGCTACAGGCTGGACACGCTTGCTCTGGCAGTGACCACACAGCCTCAAGCTCTAAGTGGCCAGACCCCTCTCCCAGTCTGGCCTGGTGGGCCTCTTGGCTGGTGATATCTCCCTGCCCAGAGCCTCTCCCCGCACTTTGTTGGTCCCAGCTGCTCATGACACCCAGCTGCAGGCTGTGCTGCTTTGCCAGTCTCCAGCTCCTTGTGTTGCTTCTCTGTCCCTTTTGGCTCTCTGAACACTGCCAGTCTGCTGCTCAACACAGGGTCTGCGCTCCTTGGACTGTGTGTGCCTGGCTCTGTTGCTGCAAAACTGCCCCTCAGCACAGGGTCTGGGCTCCTTGGGCTGTCTGTTCCTGGCTCTGTTGTTGCAGGATTTATTCTCCACACAGCTTGCACTCCTCTTAGCTGTCTCTCAGCTCTCTGCGTGCTCAGAGAGACCCAGAACAATCCCAGCTCACAGGGAGGACGGGGCCTGGCCTCTTGCTTTCCTCACTGGCCAGTCCACCCTGTCAATCAGGCCGAGCTGGAGTGTTGGCTGCTTTCCATTGTCTCTGGGGTCTGTCAGTCTCAGGGCCCTGATTTCTCATGGACCCTTCCCCTTTTGATACTGGGAGCCCGCGAACCAAAAACTCCCACAGAGTTTTAGTAAGGGGCTAACAGTCCCCTTACATTGAGAAAGAATAAGTGTTACCATTGCTATTTACAGAATTCAATATTCTACAAGCAATATATTTCAAATTAAATAAATATAATATGATAAGTGGAACTCATCTTTATCCCTTATTGTAGGCAGGAATATCTTTTCAGTGGGCTTTAGACCTCTTTAGAATCTTTGCTTTTTAATTACCTACAAAAAGGTCTCACATATGTGTAAAACATGTTACCTATTATTTTCTTGAACAATATGAAACAGTAAAAAAAGTACAGTAGATATTTGTATTTGGATGTGTCATATTCCAGCATCATTAAAACTTAGTGCGGCATTCGGAAAACTTACATTTTCTGCTCATGTCACCATGAACCTTTGTTAAGTCCAGCTTGTATTCTTCCTCTTTGTTTTTAATTTCTGCCACAAGTTTGTCAATTTGATTCTTATATTCCTGTGAATTTAAACATGTGAGTATTTGAATTTAAAGTTAAGTGCTTTTAAAGGAAAGTACTTTGCTGGATTGAGCTAGAGTTCTCAACATTTTACAGGATCTACCCTGGGTCTTCAAAACATCACCTCTTATCTGTGCTGCTCTGACTTGTAAACAGCTGCTCATATGATTTTATGTTCAAGATCAGCTTCGGAAGAAGAGCAATGAGAAGATAAATGAGAAGAAGAAGAATCCAGTTCAGCCACAGCCCTTACTGGAATGATTCATCATTCCAAAGCCAGACGGGACCACTGTGATCACCTAGTCTGACCTGCTATATAACAGAGGCTACAGAATTTACCTAAAGTTCAATACCATGCTCCCAAGAACACCAAGAATTGTAAACCATTGCTTGAGAGTCTCCACTAAAGGCAAAGATATGCCCTATTGCTTTGAATGATGAATGTCCATTATGTCTCACCTGTTCATTAGCATTTAATTTCGATTCCAGGAGTTGAATATTATTCTTTAACCTTTCATTTTCATCTGTATAAATTAAATATTGTATCAGATAACATTTCTGGTGATATTTCATTTTTTCTAATATCAAAATAAAGAAATATTTTTGTATTTATTTTTATTTTCCATCTAACTTTTAGAATAAAACTTATTTACATTTTTTGGATACCTTCATAACACTCTTGGATTAGATCTTTATGGTTTCTAATGCATTTTAAAACTTTTTAAATAACATAATTATTGTTTATTTATCATGTTTATCTCACTCTTATTAATTTGGAAGAACTTTAGCCTTATGATAACTAATAGTTGATCAGAATTTTAGATGCTAAACCTTTGCCTCAAAGACTAAGTCTTTGCAGATGTTTGTATAACAATTAGCACAATGGGACTCCAGTACTGATTGCAGCCTATGGGATGCTGCTATTATAGATAATAAATCACATACAAATTAACTGTTAAAAGAGCATTTTTAATATTGCAAAGTCGTTTTAAAAATTGAGGAAATGCCAGAATTAAGGTTGTCCATGTAATCTTAATTTTGTCCCTCTATTTAATTTACAGACATTGATTACATGATCTCATACTATTTTTGTGTGATTTAGTACCTAGAATGGATTGTGCTGAGTGAACTGAAGCACTTACCAATGTTTCTTTTTACCCTGATTATTCAATGTGTATTCAATTTATTCTTTATTAAACTTCATCCAAATCCTGCAGCGAGTACAGAATTACTAACTTCCTCACAGTCTTCCACCACAGAGCTTTACAAAAATTAATGAATTTATCATCACAACTCCCCTATGAGGTAGAAAAATATTTTTATCTCAGGTTTACAGATGAGCAACTAAGCTACAGAGAGTGCCTACTAATTCTGGGTGCCTTGAGACTTCTAGGACCTGATTTTTCAGAGGTGCTGAGCATCTGTAGTTCCCTGAAGTTCAGCTGCATTCATGAGTAAAGCAAAGATTTTGTCATGAATATTTTTAGTAAAAGTCATGGACAGGTCATAGGCAATAAAGTTCACAAAGTACATGACCTATCTGTGACTTTTACTAAAAATATCACTGACAGAATGGGGAGCTGCTAAATCCCCATATTCCTGGTGATGGTGGGACAGCTCCAGGCTCCCCTCTCAGGCTATGTCTAGACTGCAAGCCTCTTTCGAAAAAGAGCGTCTGGACTGCAACCAGTACTTTCGAAAAACCAAGTCGCTTTTTCGAAAGAGAGCACCCAGGCAGTCTGGATGGTCTCTTTCAAAAAAGCCCTGTTTGCATTACATAGCGCCTTTTTTCGAAAGAGCACTTTCGAAAAAAGGCGTTATTCCTCATGAAATGAGGAGTACCGCTGTTGAAAGAAAAGCCACATTCTTTCGATTTAATTTCGAAAGAACGTGGCTGTAGTCTAGATGCAGGTGAAGTTTTTTTTGAAAAAAGGCTACTTTTTTCTAAAAAAACCTGCAGTCTAGACACAGCCTCACTGATGGACACTTCGAGCTGTGGGATCTCCTCAGTGCTGGTGGTCCTGAGCTTCCTGCAACAGCCCTCCCCCACAGCAGCAGCCCCTGCTGCTGCCCATAGCACCAAAGAGCTTCAGAATTCCTTGCTACCCATAGTGACGGGGAGCTGCAGGGTCTCCCCCCACCACATTTTGGACAGGTCCCCCAGTGCCCACAGTGGCTCAGATTTTGGTGGCGTCTCCACTGTCCTGGGCAGCAAAGAACTATGGGGTATCCCTAATACACATGGTGGCTAGGAGTTCTGGAAGTCCCCTACCACTCAGTGCAGTGGCACTCCACGGCTTCTGGCTGCTGTGGGCAACAGGGGCACTCTGCTGTTCCTAGCCACTGTGGGCTGAAGTCATGGAGGTCTCTGGAATTCACAGATTCCAGGAAGTCTGTGATCTCTGTGACAAAACTGTAGCCTTAATCATGAATGCTCAGAATTTCTGAAAACCAGACTCTGTATGTTTCAGGCTGGGTATGCAGTAAATGAGGAACACACAATAAATGGATACCTGTGGAAACAGAAAGAAAAGGAAGTTGCAACCCAGTTTTATGACATTGCCTTTGACATAGCACAAAATGAGTAGTATAAAGAAATGGTTGAAGCATTTCACCCTGAATATATTTCTTCTGACAGATGTGAAATCAAGTCTGCTACTGTATGCTGCAAGTGAAAAACTAGAAGAAAAGCAAATGGAGAACTAAAAGAATCAACATCAACATTAATGTAGGAAGTTTGGTCAAACATGAGAAATGGTACCCTAAGTAAATCTAAAATGAAACCTGAAGAATATTGTGTCCAAATTGCAGAGAAAACCATCCAAAATGTAAACAAAAGTATGACATGAAGCTCTTTGTCATTTGCTCAGACAACAAAAATAAAATTAAAAGGAGGGAACCTCCCAGATGCAACTGTCCTAAACTTTTGAAGTATGAGTGTTCAGCACAATATTTAAACCTTCTTGAGAAAGAAGTAACACCTAATACAATCCTAAAGCATATTGCAGAAGTTCAGAAATTTGGCAACCATCATCAACTTTGTGGGCGAGTAGCTGGTTGAAAAAGGAAGATTAATATCAAGTTTCCCAATAACAGTTGGTGGAACTTTCAGTAATACAGCGTCTATACACATGCACCCAACTACTGTACATCTGTTGACATTTCTATCAAACTGAAGAGGTTTCTGATCAAAATATAGTACATATTCTGAAGAATAAAAGATTCTACAAAGAAGGAATAAAAAAACAATTGAAGATTTTGGAGAGAGTTGACTGATTAGAGGTCAACGACACTACTACCACAGTCTCTGGAAATCTGACTTCATTTCATTAATAATGAAGAATGGGAACCACACAAAGGTAAGCTGAAAAATTCAGTAGGTTTTTTTAGGCTGGGGAAATTACAACAATTCAGATTGTCTATGTCTTGCATTGTTGGATTTATGAACAAACTATTATTAAAAACCTAATATAGGCAGATGGTTTTCATGGTGATTCAATAGGCAAGAGAGGTCACAAACTGACTCTTCATACAGACATGTTGTATATTTTTCCAGAAATTCTAGATCCTATAATCACCTGATTCATAATCAATTCTGTAATCTTTGAAGTCTACTTTATTAGTTCAAGCCTTATAATAGATATTCTCACTGGATTTAATAGTTCATTATGTTATCGTGCCCTATTAGTGCAGTATTTTGTAAAACTTGTTGAATCAATCCCTTTTGATAGAATTAGTGAACACTTGCCAAGTTGGAAGGACTTCTAAACTTTATTTGGCAACTCAAACTTTATTAAAATGTCATGTCCTCCTAAGCTGTTTAATTGACTTTAGAAGTTAACATTTATTTTTATGGATAAAGACATTACAGTGACATACTGACAGTCTATTATAAAAACAATTTGATAGCTAATTAACATGCCTTTTGCTTGGGGGCAATCCTAGAACAGTAGAGAACTTTTTACATAATAGGAATCTAGCTCTAACCCTGTCTTTAATTTGACAGGAAGTCTCCTAGATAAAGGTCAAATTTCTAAGAAAGAATTTAGTGATAGCCAAAGAGGCCTTTGAAAACATAGTGTTGTCAATGAATCACAGAATATACTTGATTCTTATTTAAGGCTGATTCTCACTGATACTATTGCCACTTTACACCAATGTAAACATTCTTAAAGTGGGAATAAATTATATATACACATTCTATTAAGGTCCTTTACACTGCTGGAGTTCTGTAAAGTGGCTTTAAAATAAATGGCTGTGTCTACATTGGCAAGATTTTGCTGCGGCCAACCCAGCGGCTTCCCCACCCGCGGCCCACACCACGGGCTGCGGCTTGTGACGGGGTTGCTTCAACCCGTCAGTTTCCCCACACAAAATTCCCATTGATTTCAATAGGAATTGTGGAGAAGCAGGGCCCAATTCTGTGAAAGGCAGAGAACCTCCTTCAACATGCTGAATATTCATAGTTTCCATAAAGGCTAATATGAATTTAAATTGCTCAGTACCTGACAGGAGCAATCCTCAAAGGTTTTTAAACATGTAAATCTCATGGAATTTAGATGACTCATTGACTTGAAGGATTTGATCCTTTGCTATTAACTGATGTGTGTTGAGCACTCTTAGCTTGTTGTATATATTGATTTATTTTGCTTAGATTTCATCCACATAAAAAGCTGCATTATGAATTATGTATTCTAAAATCGACATATTTATTTAATTTGGATTAACATGATTCTTTTAGAAGGTAGGGGCTATTTCATCTGAATTATCTGCAAATGAATTTCCTCAGCTTTCAGTTTCATATATGTAGACACTTTTGCTGCTAAAAGTTGATACTGGAAACAAATCAATGTTATCAAACTGGAAACCAGAGACTGAGATTACAAGGTCATATGAAAACAGCGGAGTCTTTTAAAACAAATATTTCCATACAAATAGTACACAGAAAGAAACTAAGAAATTCAGTACATACCCACAATCATTTTAAATACTATGTACATGTAGCAAAGTCCATGACATTAATGTATGATGGGAAAAAATCAGATTTGTACATTTTTCTCACTGCATTCTAATTTTTGAGGATTGACACTGCCCCATAAATGAATTAGGCAGGATTACTTAGTCAAAAATCACACAAGGAAGATTTAAAAAAATGGGTGAAAGCAATCACCATTTCTGAAGGAACAGCAGAAGTATTATCCCACAGGGTCTTTTCACTTGTCCCAGGCTGGCAGTAAGGGTACGTCTACACTGCATACTTATTTTGAAATAAGCTATTCCGCAATAGTTATTCTGAAATAGCTTATTTTGAAATAGCACATCTACCCTGCAGGGAAGCTTCAAAATTAGTCTGAGGCAGGCTTCCCTAATGCATATGTGCTATCTTGATTTTACAGCTCCAGAAGGCACCGGGGAGGAATAACTTAGAATGGTCCTGGTTAGGGTTTATTTTGAAATAGCAGAAGTGGAGCATCTACACATGCCTTATTTCGAAATAGGTGCTATTCCTCACAGAATGAGGTTTACAGATTTCAGAATAAGCCTTCCGTTATTTCAAAATTATTTCAAAATAACGGAATTGCTGTGTAGACGCTCGTTTTGTTATTTTGAAATAATGCTAATTATCTCGAAATAACAGTGCAGTGTAGATGAACCCTAATATTTTATCAGCATTATGAGAATCTCTGTATGTGTGTCTTTGAAATGAGCATTGCAGATGATATTTTAGAGATAAACAAAGTTGTAGGGTAAATATGGGGAGAGGGCGTAAAGTAGACAAAAAGAGAAAAAAAGCATGGAGGAAGTGTCCCTAAGAGTGTCAATGTCATTTAAAAATTAAAAAAACATGCTGGACAATTCAAATGTGGTAACACAGAATAGATAATTTATAAGCCAGTAGCAGTTAATTAGAATTAACCAAAGTTAAAGCCTATACATGTAAAATATTGGGCAAACTGACAGAATACAAACTGAGGTGATTAGAACTGGATATCATACTTTCATTAGTGTGAAGCCATTAAGTATAAGAGAGATGGAATTCATTCTATGGAAAATTCACCTCCCGGCACAAAACCTTAAGTACAGGCAGTCCCTGATCTGCAGGGAGACGGGGAGCAAAGCCTTGGAGCACTCCCGCAGGGGGTGCTGGTCTGCTGGTCGGGAGACGGGGAGCAAAGCCACAGAGCACGCCCGCAGGGAGACAGCTCAAGCACACCCGGGCTGTCCCACTGCTGGCGTGCTCCAAGGCTTTGCTCCCCATCTCCCTGCAGACCAGGGAGATGGGGAGCAAAGCCGCTGAGTACGCCCGCAGCCG